TTTGTCGGTGTGGGTGGGTTTACGATAGACACTTGTCTCTAAATTCCCCTGTTCCCCTCGGTACACTTTTAAATCAAGAAAGGGCAAATGTCTATACTTTTCACGCTCAAGGGTGAATTGGATAGACGGCTCTACTGAATTCAAGTGCGATAGGAGGCGCTCCGCTTAATCTCCGGATACCGCAGAAATAACATCATCGACATATCATTCAAATTAATTAGATCGATTTTTTCCTCTGATTCTTTCTGTAGTCAAAATGTTTGGGAGGGCTGGGCAAACATATTTCTTTATTTCAGTTGTCGTGCCAATGTGAGATGGGCATCGAAACACTCAGTTAAGTGCGAGTGCGAGTGCCGTCAATGTATCACCGCAATTTGAACCTACAGTTAATTTCGATCGACTTGTACTAGTGATAAATGACACTAAGGATTATCATTTGCCTTTAAAAATTACAAATCACCCACCACTTGACTAGCATTTCCCTTTGTGTAGAAAATCATTACAAAATTTATTTCATTGCTTTTGCCAGCGATCTTATCAGTGGACGACAGACGACTGAGATCATAGAAGTTTCAGTCCTAAGAACTTGGCGGCATAGCCAGGCGCTCCCACAAGTTCAACTTTTACAGTTTTAAGACATTCTGGGTACACTCGTACAAAGCAATTTCTCGCTTTTAAGTTACAATTTTAAACTCTTATCTCTTTCACAGATGCCTTGATTTTAAAATAAACAAAAGCTGATTACATATTTCTTTCAGAAGCTATATAATTATGTAATTTGGGAAACGGAACGAAACGAAACGAAACCAAAAGGAAATCTGTAAGTTGCGAAATGAGAGATCTGTATATTAGCGAAATGAAACTCTGTGATTTGGGAAACGAGAATCTATGTGAAAACCGGCTGGAAGGATAGATTGGTTAATTCATCTGGTGTGGATTGCATACGAAAGACTACGAAACCCAGCAAGTAATACCGACCATTACTAAACAAAACTGTTTCTTTTGAAGTCTTAACATCATCGAATTTTTCTGTAAAAATGGAAAATGGCATGAGTTTGTTGTTATGTTTGATGAAGAATGCTTGACGTTTCCAATTTTCAGTCGAACAGTCACCCATTCAAATTATTCAGCGACGATGTAAATTGACGACACCTTTAGAACAGCACAGCTACAGCGCCAGATAACTTTTCAAATTATAGACTTGCATTTCATGGCTTAATGGCGTAATTCTTTATTTTCCATAGCCGACGCATAGATTGATCCAATTCACACAAGCGGTGAAATGACCGATTCATCCTTCCGGCCGGTGGAGTTCTCTCTTCCAAACCGACGAGTTTCAAGAAATTTTCGGCCCCCCATCCTCCTTTCCTTCGGTGACGTTTTTCGCAGGAAGCACTTACGCACCCAGCTGCTACTTACCTCGGTCACAATCTTTTCCCATAACTTAACCACGCCAGACAATGAGCAGCGTAAGTAATGATTGAGGATGGTTTACTATTCCGGCGATATCTCATATCCCACTCTAACATTTCCGTCCGTGTTTCGATGCCTGTTTTGCATTTGCGAGGTAACAAAATAAAGAAATACACCAACCCACCCCTACCTAATAATAAATGGTAAAAACAAAGTGGTTTAAAAATAGTCCAAAATGGCCCAATTCATATCTATTCTGCTCTTTTTTAACTGATGAATGATCACGTTGCGAGCAGAGAAGTTGCCAAGCTTTTAACTGTTTTTCATCGGTAAAGACATAAAGCGTGACGCTCACATGAAGGGGGTCTTCGTTCTTGGTTTTCGGGGGTACGGGGTCTTCGTTTTCGCTACAAACTATAAAATGCCGACATCTGGCATATCAGACATCAGTGTTTTTACCAGCCATCAAATTTTCCGCGATCGGCGTATAAAATGTCAGGTTGTCACCGACTTCATGGAAAACTAGACGCTATCGAAGAAATAACTCGAGCTTCCTTCAGTTAGGGATATGTTGTGGACAAAAAAGGCGATTTTTCATGCGAGGTCGAAGCTGGTGGTTTTGTTAGGGAGAGCCAGGGCCAGAGCCAGATAACACGACGCAGCACCACAGTTTCTTTAGAAATTTTACTCATTGATTTGCAATGAACTTTTGACCAAAAAGCCGCCTACGTTTTTGTCGCGTCTGAATGAAATAAGTGGAGGCAGGAGCCCATTACCAAGGTATGGGCTCTTTCTGGAGATTGCGGGAGCATTTTAAGGTAATTTAAAAGTTTCTTAGAATAACGAATTTAACTGCATGCGTGATTGTACACTGCAAGAGTGAAATGTGATGGAGGATGGCATCGATCATTCTTTTCCTTCTTTCCGTTTGTAGTGCTGACTATGACTGTCGATCAATTTGTTGGGTGTGGTGGTGGCCCTCTTAAACGACAGAAGCAGGATAGCCACGTTTTGCGAAGAACCGGCGCACCGTCTATGATCTATTCGAAAACTGAAATCAAAGACGTCACTACATAAACGACGAGGTCTGAGAGACAGCCTCGTTCCTCAGAAAACAAATGGAAACAAATGTTGGAGTGCCTTACAAATAAGATTCTGGTCACGCGCAATGCCATCGGCCACGCTCCACGCTGAAAAGTGGCTTGCTTCCAGAAGATTTCTAAAAAACACGAGTGACTGATAAGATAATTATTGACCTTGCTTATCGTGAAACATCGAGACTCGTTAGATCGACCTTCGGCCTCGGAAAACTTGTGATCTCCACGCCACCGATGTTTGAGTTAAGCTTGTCTTGTAAGTGTTTTAACAATCGAAAAGTTTCTTCCCTTTTGAAAGGGGCAATGGTGAGGAAAGGTTTCAAAAGTTAGAGACTCTTCCGTGCTAGGATGGATATCATGGGGGAAAAGATTGGATTAACTTGAAATCTTGTTCACGAAATTTTAAGTTAATTTCCTGAAGAGGTTAATTAAATCGGATTTGATAAAAAATCGGAAAAGTATGTACGAGGAATTCTCTGGAAAGAACTGATATTGAAGCGGATTTACTCAGTCCGAAAAACATAAGCGGGGAATGGTCAAATTCGGTGTCGAATGGGGGGAATTGATCTTTGACTAGATCTTGGGGAGGGGTAGGGTGGGTATTCCCTCGTAATAATCTCGTCCTCAGATTCTGCCGTGTAACTGAAACGTAGTACAACCGCTTGGCCGTGGAATGTCTGGGTATAAAACTACCCTCGTATGGATTCTCCAATCATTACTTTTGCATCGTTTGTACGGAAGCTGAAAAGGGACAATCCAAAAATATTTTGCAAATCAGAAAAAATGTTTAGAATCGATATCTTTAAGAAAAATCGCTTTTGAAAAGATTGTCAAATCGAGAAAACAATTTTAAATCCTGGTTTAATTCGCAGATCCACCAATAACCTTCATGAAAATCAAAAATAGTTTACAATCCAAGAATCTTTCCAAAATCCAGAAAATTTTCGCAAATCGAGAAAAATATTGTGTCACGTGACGCTTGTGCCGGTAGTCAGCACTTTGTCACGATACAGCACATCGCGTCGTACTAGGTTGCACTAGGTCTACTTGAAGTCATTACGCGACCGGACTAAATGGTACCACGATGTTCTGCAACAAATTTGGAAAAGAATTTGTGAGCAATGAGCTATTCTGCCGTCGATGTATTGTTCAGTTTTTTGAAAAATACCATGGTATTTCTATGAACTTAAGGACTCTAAAGAGAAGGTTGCGTGACTCTGGGTTGAGAAAGAGAAATGAAGTTTATTCAGAGCACGGAGTTTGGGAGATAATTGAACGTGAAATCGAAGGCCCTTCATCGCATCTTTTTCTAAACACTTAACAATAGCATCATAACGAAATCCTCTTTCAAATTAATGTTCAATGGCAGATCTTTTATTTGACGAATTTCCACATCGATGACAGAGTAGCTCATTGCTCACAAATTCTTTTCCCTTTTCCGCGGCTTCCGTGGTTTTGTGCAGAAAACGGGTATAAATTTTGAACGACCAGATTGAGTGTGGTTTTCAAGAAAGCATCGAAAGCGTATAAATATATTCGTCTTTTCAACTCCAAAAGAATAGCGAGTGCCGATGACCAAAACGTGTCCCTCTTGATAAATTTTCTCAACCTCGGCTAAAATAGCGCTACAATAAAGCCAGTCAAGCCAGGGATGAGAAAAAGTTTTGTTCTGCGCATGAAGTTTCAATAAAAGAATAATTGATTATTTGACCCATGAGTATTGACCCCCACAGCATCTAAAACAAGAGCTACACGTCAATACAGCGGTGAGATAAGTTTATTAAATACAACACTGGAAGATCTATCATCGTTACTGGACAAAAACTTTCATAAGACGTTTTTAAAAATTTAAAAATTTATCGCGGACCAACTTCAAGCTGACAGGGCAAGATGAAAGAAGAGAGTTGTGGCGACTTGGAAGTATTTGCTTCAGTTTTAACCCTTTACTCCCTAACATCAGTATACATATTCTCCGTACTGTTCTCCTTACGTTTCCGACAGTACCAACAAGGAGAGTTTGACAATCAAGGGCTTCTTTAGTTGGTGATCATTTCCTTTGTTCTCGTGACCTACATGTGTGATTCCGGGATGATATTGTAAGGAGAAATTAGATGCTAGTCACACTCAGAAGTCAGAGGATAGTTAAGCCTAACTCTTTTCATATTAGTTTTAACTCTCCCTACAAGATTTACACACCTCCTGGTAGATTAATACGGAGAATTTGCTGTTATATCAATATGACACTCTTTGAATGATAGGAGTGATATTTGTAACCACCTGTTTTTATTGAGTGTATTGATTAAGTAAAGGATGCTTTTGAGTTAATAGGCATCTTATTAGGACGAGCCCGCGTTGCTAGCTCTCGATTGATAATTCGCCCGCCAATGTATGATTTAGGGTCAGAGTGAACGGCAAAGGGAGGGGTTAGAAAAAAAACACGATTTCTATTGCCCTACCCCTCCCCTCTCATTTCTTTTGACCATCCCTCAATCCCTCTCTTTCTACCAGCCTTCCACTACAGCAAAATTAAAAGATGGCAGTTATAATTTACTAGCTCCCCGGTATCACGCCTGTTCTGCAGGCTACAAATTTAAAAGATGAACATTTGTCCTGACCAATAAATAATGTTATAGGGTATAAATTTAGCAAAAAGTCACAAGAGAAAGTGTTCAGAAACTTCTTAAAATGTCCTTAACCCTAACCCTAACCCTAACCCTAAGGTGTGTGAGAAAGAGTTCAAGCAATTCCTCTACAAAACCTTAAGTCCTATCTGCTGGCAGTTGGTCCCTTGTTTTATTCAATATCTTCAGGTCTAACAGGGTCCTTTAGTGGGACAATGGACTTCTGGTCTTTGTCACGTGACAGTGCTTTACGCATGTCTATATTCCATAGAGAAAAAATGCCATTAGTGACTATCACACCATTCAATTATCTTGTGTTCTCCAGGGGGGGAGGAGTTTCTGTATGAATGCTACGCTGGTTGTGTGCCACAGGGACTTGGGAATACCACACCAATTTCAGATGAGTTTTACAATCCTTCATTATAAACTTGACAACTCTAACTAACAAAGATATTCTTACATACCAAATACACTTAACTGGGCCAAAGAGAGATGATGTCTGTTTGTTACAGTTGAAAAATACAAATCAGTTTCTGAGATTCTTAAGTGGGCAGGACCTTGATTTAGAGCATTTCCTGTCCTGGCAGTCACTGCCCTAGTCCAATTGTAGAGTCATTCCATTTTATCAGTTTATTACTCACAATCAGCTTTATCAACTCCATTCTCCAATGGAGGTTAACCTCCTGACAGAAAGTTGTTTTTCATCTGCGAATTTGCAGTCTAGCTGACCAATTTCAGTACATGACTTATGGCCATATAAAATGCCAACTGTTATCAGATTACTCAGTTATTCACTCCTAGGATTTAGTTTCTTGCATGAAAGACAAAACCATCTTTAGAGTAAATTTCAAATTAGAAATAGAATTCTTACCAAAGGCATCTTCATCTGGATCTCCTGAATAGTACTCAAGGACTCGTCTATAAATCACATAACCTAGCTGCTTGTACATGTCTACAGCAACATTGTTACTCATGCGCACAAATAAGTCCACAAAAAAAGCATCTTTCCTAAAAAAAAGTTCAAGATATATAAATTGAGTGCATTAATTGAGAGAAAAATTATTGTATCTATGATATCACCCTTATCACAATGTAACATGGTCATTAGACATCTAGATCAAAGAACCATCCCACAAAATTTCCATATCCACAGCTGTTTCTTATCCAGACCTGAAGGATGTTCAGGTGTTGCTTTACACCATTCTCCTCTTATTACATATCTTAAACCCTAAGAGCGATAAACATCTAATTTCTCTCAACATTCTCACCCCTGAATCAAACATTAAGGTCATGAGAATAAAGGAAATGACCACAAACTCAAGAAGTACCTGATTGTTTGACTAATTCTCTACTTAAGGATCATAGGAAATGTAGAAAGATCAGTATGGAGAACTTGTATTCTCATCTTAGTGTGCAAAGGGTTGAAGTGAAGACCTCAAGAACTGTATTTTTATGTTTGAGTTCCCAAACCACACAATCCTCTGGAAATTTTATGTCCAATGCAGTGTCTCTGATAACAGCTACTTGAAGATCAGCTTTTTGATCAGGACTGGACATTTAATTTAAGGTAACTTATCAGTCCAGGTCACTTTTTAGAATTCAGTCTTAAACAGATGACCAGCAGGTCCTTTTTTTTTCAGGTGGATAAGCCTTTGACACAGATCAATAATCTATTATTTTGGTGTAAAGTAAAGCACAAGTCATCTCTGGCTAGCCTCTAATTACTGCATAGTGATCTATAGTTTATCCTCTAGATAGCCTTACACATGTTATACATTATCAGGCTTTCCATTCAGTGAATAATTCTAACTCTTTCAAAAATGCAGTGCCTTACTTTTCTGAGATCTCTTCCAAGTTGGAAATCAGCTTTGCTGCTAGTCCAAGTCGTCGATACTCAGGGGCTACAGTTACTGCTGTCACATGACCATGCCATTCTTCTTGTTGCACACTTCCTTCAGCTTTTCCCATAACTGAAATTTAAATAGTATTGGAATGCTTACCATTTACACCTGAAAAATGGTACCTCTAGTCTCATTGTAAAATCAAAATAGATTGATAAAGTTGTATGTTGTGGGCCACAAGATAGCATCATGGTTTTTTCTTTCTACAGCATCTCAGCGGGTTGGAATCATAAGCCCTCTACTTTAATTGCCTGAATGCATGCTTATAGATTGGTGCAATTACAAATGGTTTGTAGAAAGTGCATTATAAACAGTGTGGTTCATAGCCAGTAAAGATGACAGCTGCTGGAGCTTTTAGAGAAATATCCCCAGCCCCATCCCCACCAGAGTCCAACATGCTGATAACTTAAGACCCTGAATCAAAATAGCCTGTGCTTATTTGCCTTCACTTTCATTTTAATTGGTGACATTGATGACTTATAATGTTAAAATGAAAAAGTCACAAATGTTAATTTTCATCCCTCTCAATATAATAGGTCAGACTTTAAGCCACTATCCAACACTAGTTCAAGGCGTCATTCGGAGTCTCAATATTATCATAATTCTGAATTAAAAGTACATATTAAAAAGAAAAACAGTTCAATATTTTAGCACTTACTGTAACCCATAATTTGTCCTGTAGGTGATTCTGTTACTTGAAAATACTCTGGCCAGTGTGCCAGATATTGAAGATAGAATGCTAGTCCATACTGCAGTAATGTTAAGAAAAAAATTTGGGAAATGTTGCTATAAATAAAAACTATTGTATATTAAATTGTAATTACTTCATTTTTTTTGTACAAATACATCATAAGATCCATTGTTCTTATTTTTCCAGAGGTTCTATTCCAAAATGGGCAAAGTTGGTACCGGTTTAATACTTCTAAACTTTTGGAAATGAAAATTACATCTAAGGATACAGTTTCAGTCAAGGGATCTAAGTTCCTGGAAGAAGAAATGGAAACAAATACAGTCACAAATTAAGTTGATCACATGTTCTTGAATGTATTCAAATTGGAGGGCAAGGAGAATAAATTTATCCTTCTGTCTTGCTAACTTTCCAACATAATTATTTCATTTTTTTCATGTTCCCCTCATTTCATTCAGTCATCATCATCACCATTTGATTGCTGTCAAGATCATCACACAATGCTCTACCACTGGCTCTTCAACCATATGACTGAATTATTCCAAGACAAGGCCAGTATCATGTTAGGGTATCAGGGTGTGTTGGCTGTCCATTATTCCTAGTAAGGGATGACAATTCCAATAGGATGATATAAAAAGCTTTCTAACTTCAGCAGATTAAAACACCTCATTTTCAAAAGATAATGTTAATTGGGGCAATGAATAGTAAATGGTAGAGTTAATTTTGAGAAAATTTTCATAAGAGCAATAGAGGACTTTTTTCCATGTTTACATAACTCCATCTTAACACGATGGGGCTGGGGAGAATTCGAGAGAGTTATTCAATTCTAAGACACAAACCTACCCAAAGGGTCAACTTAAAGCTATGTTAAAAAAAACCCAGGAAAAGCATAGAAATAACCATAGAAACCACGTCACAAGTGAAGTGCAGGCTTGCAAAATTTTGACTTTGGTTTTAGAAGAAGTAGGAATCATACAAAGATGTTGTAATGTTGTTAATTAAATGCAAATTAGAATTTGAAGAGTTTTGTTGCAAATTCTGCAGCTTGGTCAAGATACCTTGGTCTGTTCAGTAATCAATGACTGAAGAAGTCAAAATGGGGCAAGAGCGTCAGTGACACAAACAACTGCGCCTCTTATACCACTATTTTGTTCATACCACATTTTGATATCATCTACGATCTACTACTGAACGGACGCACGGAAGTATGAAATCTATTTGTTGAAAAGACATCAGGTCATAGTTGCATTTTATGCCATTCACTTGGCTAAGCAATGTCAATGAACTGAATATACACTGTGCTCTTCTGATATTCAACTGTATTCCCATCGCATTTACCCGATATCAGACACTTCAACGTTAACGAAAATATATCATCGTACTCACACATTGCTGAAATGAAACATATCCTCGCATCTGAAAGGTCTAACAGTGGTCATTCTAGAAAAAAAAAATTGGCCACACATTCACAGATACATTTGAAGCGAACAACTGGCAAATACTACAAGGCGTCAACATACTCCTGACGAGACTAGTAACCAGTCTCACCAATCACCCCTCCCCTGAAAGTAGTACGTGACATCAGCATTTGGCTCTCCCATGACAAAAATAAACGTAAAACAACCAGATTTCTTTTTGCGGTTAAAATTCCAATGCGCTAGACGTTAGTGAAGTCTGATATCCACAACGTAACCGCGCATTATGAAAATAAAATGTTTACAATGTGAAGTTACCAAATTTCATTACAAATTATTTGTAGGCGGGGGCTCATGCAATTACGCACATCCGATTCTATCTCAATTTTTTAAGTTTTTGATCCACGCTGAGTCGATAAAATGGCCATTCTAAAGATATGAGTCCAATTTGAGCCAGCGAGGGCTCACGTTAACGTCAGTTTATTTAGTGATAAAAATAGTAAGGAATCAAGCAGCTGCCTTGAGAAACTGAATTGCGTGACATCACATCCGTTGTAAATTGCGTTTTCATTTCACAAGAAACTTCGAACCTTTTAAGGCCGTAAGAGGGGTTAAGCTGCCGAAGAATTCTATTGTAAAGGTACCCACAAAATTCCCTATTTCAATAATTCTTAGCTTGAACAATTAGTTAGATTGATTCCCCTGCGATGCGACATTGTGGAAACTTTCACCACAGGCGCGATATGTCATGCGAGACATATGACTAAATCTTGTCACGACTCGCCAACGACAGATCGTTTTTGTCCCAAGTGAGTAGCACACGACATTGTATAACATTTTTTACGAAAAGGACGCCGACTTCGTCAACTGCGTGGAAAAAATATTTTAACCACACAAGTTTGTTTTCCCACTTCAATTTTCGCGGCACGTGCAGAGTCGATTGTCATAGAAATGAGGCCGTGTCATGTTTTGTGAGGACGAAAATAACATGGCGGTCGCTGTTATTTTGGGGAAGGGTTGATAGGGTTAAAACGGTTTTACAGCCATATTTTACTGAATTGAAGGATTACAAGATATTCAAGCCAGGTAATCATGTTTTACCTTTCTCCATGGACGCTTTTCGGATTAATTTTTTGTACCGCCTACTTCGTTTTGGTCTTGTGTGGTTTCGGGAGAAAAGGCGATCAGAGGAAAGTGAGTCAGAAATCCAATGAGGAATCGGTGTCCTCGACGAAATACTGCGACGATGTAACCGAGGAAACACAAGCGAGGATAGCCGACCAGAAGTTGAATAGCGTTGATCTTGGAAATGACTCGCAAGGCGGCAGATCGGACACGCAAAGGCAAATTCACGAAGGCACGTTATCATGCGAAATACCTTATGCTAACAATTCGTTAGAGAGTTCAAAACAAGCACCTGCCCACAGTGATGAAGGGGACAATTTAACAGTGAAACAAATTCTTGCACCTGTGAAATGCAATGCTTCTTTGCGCAGTCAAGATGCCTTGAATCTACAAGAGTTTAATATCTCCGAGGACTTTGTCTCAGAGAGAGGGGAAATCCGAGGTCGAGGGAATAACACATCGAACCCGAACGCGAACGAATATTTTTCAGAATTTGTAGAAGGGAGTACCAAGCATTTTGAAGAATTGAAGTTTTCTCGTGAGAATCAGGGTGAAATATCCAACATCGTTACGAAGACCTCTGTGGGCACGGTTTCATCAGCTCCGGAGGAATATAACTTTGCAGCGTTTGAGAATGAGCAACCAATATTGCACTCTGAACCATGTGTCGACGCTGTGGAAGCAAATTATTCCGAGGCAGATTTAAACAAAAACAGCTTATTCGGCGACTTCGCAGAATTGTTGGTTACCAAAGCTGCGACAAATGCCTTAAGTGACGTCGACCTGGAATTGAGAGCCAATGTTTTGGCTGAAAACATTTCCACACAGATAGTTTATGATGCCATTGGTCAGTTATCAGCTGATTCTGGCAAAGAAGAATTTGATGCAGAAAATGTCCAGGAAATACACAGTTTTGTGGGAGATGTGATTAATTCTTTGTTCCAAGGTGCCACTGGCAAGGTTGCTTTGGTTAAAGATGTTGAGAGTTTTGCCAAAGATTTGAGTGAACAAATTATTAGCGAGGGTGTACTCATCTACACTGCAAAACAGAAGTTTGAGCAAGGGAGAAAGAAAAAGGTGTCACTCGGTGAAATCAGAATTTTCAGTGAAGATGTTGTGAGTGAAGTTTTATCAGATGGCATTGAAGAGGCAGCTCTACTGAAAGATGAACACATGGAGGATTACTTGAACAATAAAAACACTGCCCAGGTTACTGGCTTGGAGGATCCAGTTCCACACAATGCTGACAGTTCAGGTGATGAAGTCTGTCAAGCTGCTTATCAAGAAGTCACCATATCAAGCTCCTTACAACCCCATTTCAGTGGTGTAGTGGAGAATCTGGTGAATGGGGCAATCTATGAAGCTTCCTTGCGAGTAAGGGCTCATCCAGGGAATGAACCATTACAGGAGTCAGAGTTACAACCATACTCACAAGATGTTTTGGAATCTCAAGTCGATGAGACAGTGAAGGAGTTAATTTTTTCAGCTGTAAACGAAGCTGCTGATCATGAGAACCAAAAAAGCAGCATTGCCCAGGAAACAATGCCAATGATTCAGAATGAGCTTGAATCTCAAGTGGGGTCATATGTGGATAATGCTTTACAGAATGCAGTCAGCGAAGCTTCTGTGAAAGTTCTAGAAGGACATAGTGAAGCTACTCACCAACATAGAGTATTAAATGGTCATGTTGATCTCTCTCAACATTCTGTTGTGGAGTCGCACAGCTGCCAAAGTACACCTGAAGATGTTGGTCCAGTAGAAAAGGAAACTGAAATTGTAGACCAATCAGAAGGATATGATATTGTGCCTTCTAAACACAATAATTTACAAACAGAATTAACAGGGCAGAAAAGTGGTGATAATGGTGACTTCTGGAGAAGGAGTTTGATTTTAGACTTAGAAGGAGATGAGGAATTTGATGAGGCAGGTGAAAGTGAAAAATCTTTGCCAAGTGCAGGAGATTCAACCTCACCTACCAATGATGACGAACTTATTTCTGATGAAGATGTAGAGTTTATAGATTCTTCGGAAGATGAAGTCATTGATCACGCAGAGGATGCCAAACTGGGAGCAGTTGGGGGGTCAAATGCAGCAAAGCATGGAAGAAGTGATGATGACAGACTAGAAATTGAAGATGACATTGATGATGTCAATGAGGATGATGATGATGACACTGATGATGATGATGAAGAGTTGTTTGTACCACAGTCAACTGTAGATGGATTATGTGTGAGTAAACCTAAAGATAAGAAGAAAAAGCATAAAACACTTCCAAGAGCAAGGATACAATCAGGTTAGATAACTGTTGGCAACTTATTTCATTTATTTTATTTGCCAAAAAGCAGTCTTTAATTACAAGTAATATTGCATTGATTAAAAAATTTGTTACCGATAAAAAAATAATTATAAGTAATGTAGCAAGGAAACTTTGACTTATGCCAGGTTTTTTTTTCATCCCTGGTTCAAATTTTAGTTCCTAAATAAATGTTTTCTTGTGTGGTAATTCTTGGAAATGTAAATACCACCAAGAGCATCTACCCTTCCATGTATGTCATACCAAACTTCTGTGTTTTGTAAGTCAGTGAATAATGGTACACCACTCTTGAAAGTACTGCTTTGTTTTTTTTACTGCAAGCTCAGTTTAAAAAAATGTCTTCTTTGTTTGAAAGCATTTGCTTAACTATCTTGAATTTAGCACTCATGAGTTAAAAGGTTGAGATTTTTTAAAATTATATGAACTTAAGAGCTTGACTTTAATAGGAGTTCTGTTGACCAGTGTCTTAATGAGTCAAAAATTCTTTATTCAATTATTTACATTTAGCTGGATCACATTACAACAGTGCTGTGGTGATAGACAATGGCTGTGGTACCATTAAACTCGGCATGGCTGGGGAAAAGAAACCTAGTATTGTACAACCGGCTTTGTATGGAATTCCTAAAAGATACTCATTGCAAATGGCTGGACTGGACAATAAAAAAGACAGACAATTTGGGGATGCTGCTGCTATTAAGGCTGGCGTTATGCAACTTGGTAAGTTAATGACAGAATACTCGTATGCCAGTTTATTTAGGAAGGTAAAGTCTGTTAGCCAAGTGGCCCATCCAGCTGGAGCTGATCTCAGTTTCCATAAATGAGATGACTAGGACTATTGCTACTCCTACCTGCCAGTCAATTGCAAGGTTACCCAGCAGCATTTCTTCAGCCTTCCCTAACAATTGGCCGCTACCCATTTATACTCCTTTTGTGAGATGACCCAGAATTACTCAGCTAAGCCTCAAACCCAGACCTATTGACCAGGAGTCCAGCACACAAACCATTAGGCTGCAATATCTCACACATGCTAGGTTCTGTACTCCTTGAAAAATTTGGTTGATTTTTATATGTGAGGCTCACTGAAGAAAATCCAATCAATAAATTAATATTAATCACATATACTGTTAAATAAACTATTCAAAAATATATTTGATCCTGAGAAAAGCAGTGATGAAACTTATGAAGGAGTTTCCATTGTGATCTTTCTTTCTCCAGCCTTTAAGAATAATTACTTAAATTTTTTTTATTTCATTCAAAGAGTACCCAATGAAAGCAGGACTTATTGAAAACTGGTCTGACATTGAAGATATCTGGGAATACATGTTGTACAGTGAGCTTGGAATTGAGGAGGGAAGCAATCCAATTTTGGTCACTGAAGTTGCCAATACTCCAAGGAAGAACAGAGAGAAAATGGCTGAGGTGAGATTTCATTGGATATGTGTATGCAATGCTAGGACTATGTTCCTGTGTCTATTGATACCTTGATTGGCAATGTCTTGCACTAGTGAAGTTCTGTCAATATGATGAAAAATTTCACCAAATGAATTTAATTATCTAGAAATCCTTTGCAGGAAGATGGTAGGGGTTTAGCTGTTTAACTCCCAGAAAGAATTTCACCCACAGTGTAACAGTATCAAATTGAATACAATATCAAACATGCAAATAATGAGGAAATAGAAAAATATAAATTAAGGAATTATAAGGTGATCCAAAACCAAACTCTCTGAACTAACATCAAAGGAATTTTATAATCGAAAAAGGAGAATTACTAAATAAATGAGATCTTGGGAATGTTAAGTTTTTCAGCACTATTCTCAT